TGAAAGCGACGATGAATTTCGTGCTGGCCACTCCATCGAAAGTCCTACGGTTTCTTTCCTTCCATATAATCCAACACAATACATGAATAAGAACCAATGTGCACCACTCTTTCGGATTTTCTGGCTTTCTTCGGGGCCAATTGTTGATCACATGTGTTATATCTCCAAGACCTCGGTTTGAATGGACGAAAGCCCTGAGCATAGACCACACTCTAGTTGCGAAGCTGCAATGTAGAAACAAGTGGCTTTCATCTTCTTCACTAGCTGCGCACATGACGCACATGCTGGGAAAGATCCTGCATCTCTTCTTTAGGGAGTCATGAGTGAGTATCTTCCGTTGATGGATAACCCACAACAAGGTGCAGACCTTGGACGGGATCCAAGCCTGGCAAATCGTCTTAAACGGATAGTCTTCTGATTCCGGGTACCTTTCCTTTGCAAGGAAGATGTACATGGAATTCATGTTGAACATATCTGTAGGCTGCGATACCAACGAATCCGGACCTGCAGAGAAAAGAGATGGTCCGATATATTAAGAAAATAAAAAAATCTCTCCATTTATCTCTCAGCCCCACCTCTAAAAGAGGTTTTAAAAGGAATTTTCCAGGATACACTCTCCTTAGATAAATGAAGGAGGTCGCGAATAGAAGCCAGGGGAAACAGCAACAGCCACCATTCGTGGGAAGGTCTATGCGAGTGTCTGATCGCCCCTCTAGTGATCCAATCAAAAGGAATTCGGTTTTCGCGTGCCCAGCTTGAACTGTGCGAATTTCCAGAAGTCTGTTTTTACTTTAACAATTTGACTCCAAGCACTGCAGCCAGCTGCACCCAAGATCCCACAACTAAGTCATCGAGTTCCACCCCCTGAAAATTTTGCTTTGATCAGATTCTTCCACCAGGTGTCTTCCTCTTGTGCAAATTTCCAGAGCCACTTGCAGACCAACGCCTTGTTCTATAGTTCGAGGTCCATTATACCCAGGTCGCCCCATTTCTTTGGTGTTTTGTAGCGATCCCAATCTACAAGGTGCATCTTGCGATGCTCCGAGTTTCCCTCCCAAATAAACGTTCTCTGTACTTTCTCGATCTTGTGGATCACGTTCTTTGGAGCAATGAATACACTACAAAAAAGACAGTCAGGTATGACTAGACGATTGGCGTCGAAAAAAATAATTTTTTGTTGAAAAAGACCTTTTACGACAAAATAAAGTTGTTGTTCGTCATGGGAAAAAGTCCCATCGCAAAAGGTCTAAAAAGTAAGGGCGTTAGAAAAACTTTTTTGTAACGAAAATTTCTTCGTCGGTAACCAAAATATCGTTGTCATAAATAACTTATACTTGATGCTGAAAATTGACGAAGTTTATTTGTGAGGGAGATTTTTTTTAAATACGAAGAAATGTCATCAGAAACGAATACTTTTTTCCGAAATACCCTCTAACTTTTTTATGACTACAGTGCCTCGTAGAAAAAATTGTGCAAATGAAATCAAAATTTCAATTGCAAAAATACCCTTTAATTATTTTCGACGAGGGTGTGACATCCACAAAAACAATTCCTCGATAATAAAATTATTTATGATGGAACTCATTTCGTTAAAAATATGGAATTTCTCTTCCCAAATTAGCCTTTTTATTTTTTTACAACAATGCGGAATAGAAAAACCTTCATTAAACAGGACAAATTTGCATTTGCAAAAATACCCTTTGGTCTTTTTCGATCAATTTGTATAAGAATGAGAGTATTAACACTAAATTTTATTGCATAAAACTTTTAATACATTATTAATATAATTGTACTCATAAAAAATTAAACTCAAACAAAACCCAACTATGCCAACTCTTCGAAACAGAGCCCAATTGAACTAACACTAATAAAGCCCAACTCTAGAAGAGGCTAACTCTACCAAAGAAACCCAAATCTTTGCCGCTACTGCTTCCGCCTAGACTGTCGTCGAGGAGCTGATAGAAAGAGAAATTAGTTCAGGAATACGCAAATTAGACTGAAAATTTTGCCCCAAAACGTTTTGGTAAATGACAATCCAAACAATAGAAGAGAGAAAAAAGTTTCAATCATTTTACAACACAAACCTTTATTAGAGTATGTGTAGTACGAGTAGTATTATGTTATACTACGAGTACTATTATGTAATTGGGTAGAGTTATATTCCTTATCAGAGTTGTACAAGTTAAGTAGTTTCCGTATTAGTGTTAGGGTTATTATAGAAGTCAGTCTCTGTACTCTATATAAACCCTACATAGTTTTAGTAATACAACACAACAGTTCCCACCATATTTACGATTCCCAACATGGTATCAGAGCCTTCTGTGACCGTGAGGTCTTCTGTTCAATTCCCGGTGACCCTCATCTGTTTCTGTTAAGCACACAATGTCCGGATCTGTGCCTGTCCAAACTCCAAGCCTATCTGATTGGCTTGAGTTTGAAGGGGGGTGTTAGTAAACGGTATATGATTCACGATTGAACCTCTCCCAACAACTCGAGTTATTGGGATCAAATGGTTCTTCACATGGTATCAGAGCCTGGTCAAAAACCTAATCGTGAAAACCCTAAACCCTTCCTTTTCTCTTTGTTCCGCCGGCCACCACTATGAGTCCAGAGTTACCGGGACAATAATCTCTCCTCCTCCTTTTTCTTCCCGGTTCCCAAATGCCTACAACCAGTACGTAGCCTTCCCCATCTTTCTTCATTGTCTTTGTCTCCATTCATAGTAATTAGGAATGGCTTTTATTGTTATTTGTCCAATTATATATTCCCGTCCAAGAAATAAGCCCCTGCCCCCAGCCGCGAGAACCAAAGCGGTCCCCGCGGATCATCAACCCCAAAGATGTTCGCTCGCTGCCTAGGTTCGCTGAAAGTCCATGCCGCAAGGTTTTCTGCATGGGTCGCCGTCTTCCGCATTGATCCTTACCTCTCCATCATCTCTCGGCTGCCGAGAAGCGCAAGCTCAACCTTGTCATTCAAGAAGTTAGTGTTAGAGTTAGTCAATAGAGTTGTAATACGATATTCATGGGAGAAGTAAAGTATAAAGATGGAGTCTTTTGGCAGTTTAATTAATTAATTAAACATTTAATTTTGTGAAAAGAAGTGTCCTTCCATAAAGGTAACTCCCTTTTTTCTGTGAAAGGATGTGTCCTTTCGGGAAAGGTAACTACCTTTTATGTGAAAGGATGTGTCTCTTCGGAAGGTAACTTCCAGTTTCACTACTATAAATAGATGACTGCCATAACTCTTTTGATGATGAGAGAATTCTTCTTCTTCCCGTTTTCCTTCTCTATTTCATAAACACAGAAGTCTGCAAGATTGCTGCTTCCAGAATTAGAATTGAAGGGACTCCTGGGGGTGGTTTGCTCAAGCCTACCAGCAATTTGTAGTGGGGGCAAATAACACTCTAAGGAGGGTGATTAATCACGCCTTCAATCCGATTCTTTCCTACCAGTTCCTGACAATCTTAGAGTGTTATTTTGCTATTGGAAAAATGGAGTTTGGAGTAGAGAGTACGTTGAAGGCGTATGCTTCTAATTCGAAAAAGTGTGGTTCTCGATGTTTTACTGTGTTCAATGGTTTCGGAGTTTGAGATACTGGTACACCCGAAAGGCTGTTTCCTGAACGAAGGAAGTGGCAGTCGAACATCATTGTAAAAATGGTTGGTTCCGAAGAGGAGAAGAAGAAAAGTGGCATTCGAGTCTCGAGTCATCAGGAAAGCAGCAATTGGTGTAAATTTTTCCCTTTTGGTTCCGAAGAGGAAAAGGTCGCATTCGATAGTCGTCGGAAAAATAGGTACCTGTTCCTATAACTTTTGGTGTAATTTGCACCTAATTGCTGGCTGCTTTCAAAAGGGAAATTGAATCATAGATGTCGCAACCGCCCCTCGAGATCGGGGTATCGCTAGCGAATCGATTTGGAGTCGCCATCGACCAAGCTTTGGGATGGGTCGAACACCCTTTTCCGGTTTTAATTTTTGTTAAAACCAGAATTCTGGTCTACGAATTTTAGATTTTGGGTTTGGGAGTACGGTTACGTGTGGGGAAGTGTATTCACACCCCACAACGCCCCAAATGGGTACTACTTAAATCGATAAGTTTTAAAAGGGTTGGGTGTGTTATTGTTTGTGCATTATTGTGTATTTAATTATATGATTTGATTTAATTTGATATTTATTAATATACGATTCGATCATTACGACTATTGACGTAAATCTCGAAAGGTAAAGAAAGAGTTTTATAATTAGTTTGACTCGAACCTATTGGTTGCCTACGTACCCGACTTAGTCGGAATCAAAGTCCACGTAGTTCGTTTGTTTTGATCGGTTTTGAAAAGAGAAAACTTTACACGTTCTATTGATCGTGTAAGTCTAGATATTGCATTTCTTCTTTGAAGATAATTTTAGTGCGTTGACTTAATTATTTATTGGTTACACGATTGTCACGTTCTAGTGAGCATGACTTTTCGTATTAAGGATTTTTAAAAGAAACATACGTATGCAGGCAACTATTTCAAATGAAGTTAATGATTCTTTTCGAAATCAGTATAAAAGGTTTATTGATCCTCGAGATATACTAAGGAAATTATCGTGCTTAAGTACGTATTATGGTTATTTAAGTTAAAATAAACTAAGATTGACATGTGAACAAGTGGCAGGCGACTAGCCTAGAGGTTTATTCTATTGATGAGAATTTATTATGATCTTTGTGTTAGTGGTTCGAATCTTAGAACCAACAATTTTTTTTTTTTAGTCGAGTTAAAACCGCGTCGTTTTAAGGTGGGGAAGATGGCAATGGAGTAATTTCATTAAATCGACAGGGGCAACTAAGTCTTTTAGCCATGAGTACTATATAAGTCTCTCCTTAGGCTGAAATGGAAACCCTAAACTATTCATCTTGAACTAAAACGCCGCTCAAACCTTCATACCTCTTTCTCTCGTTTCTTGCTCTTTGAACCAGAAAGCAAAATCGATTCTTCTTCTTCCATTCATCGCATTCGATCTTCGCTGCAGAAAACCAGAGAAACGCTGGCTTTCCAATCACTTCTCCCTCCATCTCCCCACTTCTCGGCCTCCGCGGTTCCCTTCTCCGTTTTCGTTTTCTAACCTTCTCCATCTATCTTCTTCGCCCCAGTTATTCCGATCTTCCTCCGCCTTCTCCTTTCATTTCCGAACACGACAAGTAGAAGGCAAGGAAGAGGCGAAGCAACGATCTAGGAAAACCCGGCCACTGTCGCCGGCGTTAGCGGCGACGATGGAGGCGAAGGTAAGGGATCTTCTTGTATAGGGTTTGCATGTCAATTTTTTTAGTTTATCTTGGCGGTTTAAGGTTCTGATTGTTGATTTTTTTTGTTATTGTAGTTCTGCCCTCGATCGAGGGAAAAAGGAGGAAAGCCGCCAGCAACTCTTCTTCTCACCGACGACTGAGGAGCAGCCTGGCGGCGGTGAGTTACGGGGAGCCTCTTTCCATCTGGGATTGTGACTCGCTATGACACAACTCCTAACAATGGCCAAGTGTAACCAATGAAAGGGACTGCAGTATAGTGGCACAAGTAATAAATATCGAATCCACGGGTCTCTAGAGTTACTATTACTCGGCTTCAGTTCATTATCTAGCAAACTAGATTAATGATTGATTAACTAAACTACTCTACTAACTAAACTAAGTAAAACTACTAATTACAATTTGGGAACTCACTTAGGTATGATTCCCCCTAGCTCCTCAATTAGGTCCAAGTTGCAATTACCTTTGGTTGATCTACTGTTGATTAAACTGCGGAAGATCCTAAATTAGCTTGGAATCTCTTAAGCTGACCAAGCCCTCTCAGTCCAACTACCCGGCAGACGACTAGTCTTCACCAGGATAGAAAGCTGAGGCTATGAACACAGAACTCCACTATTGGAATGAATTCCAGTACAAAGCAGTGAATTGATTGACTCTCGCACAACCAATTCACCACTATCAATCAAGGAAGCTCTCTTAACCTAATCAGATTCTATCTATCATAGGTTAAAGCAAAAATCAAGAGAATTTGATCAAGATTCAATTGACTTAATAAATCATACCTCAATCGATTATAATCAAACAATATAGCATCCAAAACTTCATACAAGAAAGATCCTAACACATGGGACTAGGGTTCCTCAAAACCTAAGTGAAGGGAAGTTACTCCATAGAGAAGAGAGAGACTGCAGAAATCTGATCTAGATCTTCAATCTCCATCTCCAAGCTTGATTCCTGAGCTCCAATGGCGAAGAAATCCTCCAAAATAGCTCCAAGAATGTTCCCAAGTCGCTCTCTCTCTCTAGGTTCGTCCCTTGGGTGTTTGGGAACCAAAACCCAGCTCCCCCTTTCCTTTGGCTCAAATCTGCCTCAAAAACCCGATTATGGGCGAATTACGGGCTGAATTACGGTCGTAATTCTTCCCTGCACGTATTTTGCCCAAAACACGCGTTTTGGTTATGTTTCAGCGCACCCAAAGCTCCTCTCGGCAGTGAAATTACGGGCATGGAAGGCCAAATTACGGTCGTAATTCTTCTGCCCGTAATTCTTCCTCCTCTCCTGTTCACAGCTTCGTTTCTCCCTCGTTCGGACTCCGAATCAGTCGCCGTTTGAACCCAGACGCTCGTAGTCTCGTCCTCTTTCTTTTAATAACAAGCTTCCATGATAATTTGTCCATAATATGAGGTAGAAATCCATTATTCCTCAGGTCATGCTCGTGTTTCTTCTCCCGAATTGCCAAATGATCTCCGATTGACTTGAAACTTGCGCCTATGCTTCAATATACATGCTAGGACCTGAAATGTGACAAAGGAATACAACCTAGCGTAAAATAGGCCAAAGACACGATAATTCAAGCTCAAACAATCAAGAAACAAAGGGGAAAACATGTGCAAATACCGAGTCATCAAATCCCCCCACACTTAACTGTTTGCTTGTCCCCAAGCAAACCTAACTCAAACCAATGCAGCTCTCCAGAGCTCTATAGCAACATACAACCCCGATCGTCGGTAGAGGATTTCCTAGATCATATAGCAGCTTACGAGGTCAACTGGTCTTCTAAGACGTTCCCTATCTCTCTCAATGCGAGTACTAGACTCAAGCCAGAATCATGAGAAAAAGTAGAAGTAAGACAGTCAGTTCATGGATAAAGGGACTCACACCATTCACAACCAAGGACTCGTTGTACCGGGGTGCTCTTTCACTTCATTTCACTGTTGGAACCCCTTTTTGCACTTTCATTCACATTTTCCTTGTTTTTTTTTCTTTCACTTAGCATGGGTTCCAACTGCAGTCTTTTGCACGGTCGACCCTTATTAGTCGAGCAAGAGCAATTTCTGTACACCTGGCGCTCGCCAGGGTACTTCTTTTAACTCCTTTTCCTCAAATAGTGTTGAGGGTCAATGAAATTAAGGGGGGTCGGAAGCTCTATCCGTGCCCTTAAAAACACATCCTCAAGTAGGCAAACCGTTCAACGGGTGAAAGTTTTACTTGTACTAGAGACAACTTAGCTTCACCTTGTAGGAGTACCCCACTAAGGATCACTAAAATCTCTTCCAAAACCCGATTTTGTGCAATGAACGGTGCCGCACACGTTGGGCTTACCCCATGTTTAAGATTTAATGATTTTGACATGGAGGACCAACTGCTTCCCATTTTCCATATGAGCACCCTGTTCACGAGTCCATAACACAATCCAAATAGAGTCACCATTACCACATGAATTCAACGGTCTTAGCTCCACTAATTCACAAAATCAACCTGCACAGCAGAGAGCTAGATAGGAAAAATCTTATACTTCAACATCCTCCATAGTGCTACACTACCTCCCCATGTTGCACATTACTATAGAGTCTGTCAATTCAAAGCATACTGAGCAGGCAATTTGCATGGAAACACGTACTTGGAGCCCTCAAATTTAAAAATTTGGACAGTGGACTAGGCTCCAAGCACACAAACAGCCAAACATTCACCCGCATACATAATCGAACACCCCCCCACACTTAAGCACGCCATTGTCCTCAATGGAGGAAAGATAAGGAGGGTAGAACGAAGTTACCAGATCAAGGGTGAATGATGATGGATGGGTCAGGCGGTGCATTCCAGGAAGAGAGAGTAATCAGAACACAAACACCACACAAAATCTCACAAAGGTTGAGTTATTGACTCTAAAATGAAATAACAAAACTGACTTAGCCGAGGAGAAATAGAGAAAGAAATGCAAACCGACTGGTTGGGTTGCCTCCCAACAAGTGCTTCTTTCACGTCGTGAGCAGGAAGATGGATCCTAAGTTTTGGTCCATGCTAGAACCTCCTTGAAGTTGAGGTTCTCGTCAATGAGGTGGAGTCGCAAGTCACGAGCATGTGGTATGACTGGTGATGGAAGCTCGTGCACTTGATGCATATGAAGTCTCCATCCTCGAGACCTCTTCTTCTCTTCTCTCGTCTCATTGCCCCAAACCATATATGACAACATCGATTGACCACCATCGCGTCCACCAAGAGGGACCGATGTCGATGTGGCCTTGGTCTGGCAAAGAGACACTGCAAATGGGTCCTTGCTAAGCAGTTCCTCGAAGTTTGGTGGGGATATTACTTGTATTATAGGGCCGGTGCAAGCCTCTTCCACCTCAATTTCATCCTCAGCCTGGACGCCAATTTCTTCTTCAACCTCCCTTTCTTCTTCATGCGGTTTCACCCCTGGGAAATGATCAAGAACTCCTCCTGCTTCACTTTCGTCATCCTCCCCAACTTCTTTCTGCACCCTTTCTTGCTCTTCTTCTTCTAGCACGGATTGGAGAGCAAGTTGCCAAGCAATTTCTTTCATGAGATCTTCTTTCATCTCCTCACTCATGCCCGCCTCTTCAAAGCTCAGTGTGGGATGTGGGAAGGTGTGGTCGGCTATGATAGGACATTCCTAATCATGATCATCACGAGAGCTCTCCGTGACAACTTCAGTGTGCTCCACAATGTCCTTGTAGCCTTCTTCTTCCTCCTCCTGTTCTAGTATGGTAAGATAAGGGTGATCTGGAGCAGGTTGTGCACAAGATCGCTCAAGATCATCGACGCTCTTCTTAAGACTCAGGAGGATCTCCTCTGTTTCACGATAGGCCTGGACACAATGATCCATCCTGGAGCATGATCTCTCACAATCTCGAGCAAACTGCTCCATGAGAAGCCTCAATTCATAGTTTGGATCTGGTTGTGGAGTGTAGCATGTCTCTGCAGAATGGCCTGTGAAGGCCGCCATGGGTAACTCCGGCTCCAATGGCCCCTCTGGTTGTGGGAGAAATTCTTCTCGATAAGGAGGTTGTTCTTGATATGCCCATGGGTCTGCCTGTTCTCCGTGGAAAGGGGGTTGGTACTGGAACCCGACTCCATAGTCTTCTCCTCCTTGGTTACTCCAGGGAGTCTCGGGGTAATACCACTCGGATGGTGGTGGATACCCCCAATGATTGGAGAAGCCATGAGGGTCCATGATTCAGATCTGCACCAACAAAAACAAAAAACACCCAAGTGAAAAGCAAGGGCGGAAAACAAAAGAAAAACGCTAAAGTAACAAACTTCTGCCTTTCCTAATAATCTAGAAAGTCCCCGGCAACGGCGCCAAAAACTTGACTCGCTATGACACAACTCCTAACAATGGCCAAGTGTAACCAATGAAAGGGACTGCAGTATAGTGGCACAAGTAATAAATATCGAATCCACGGGTCTCTAGAGTTACTATTACTCAGCTTCAGTTCATTATCTAGCAAACTAGATTAATGATTGATTAACTAAACTACTCTACTAACTAAACTAAGTAAAACTACTAATTACAATTTGGGAACTCACTTAGGTATGATTCCCCCTAGCTCCTCAATTAGGTCCAAGTTGCAATTACCTTTGGTTGATCTACTGTTGATTAAACTGCGGAAGATCCTAAATTAGCTTGGAATCTCTTAAGCTGACCAAGCCCACTCAGTCCAACTACCCGGCAGACGACTAGTCTTCACCAGGATAGAAAGCTGAGGCTATGAACACAGAACTCCACTACTGGAATGAATTCCAGTACAAAGCAGTGAATTGATTGACTCTCGCACAACCAATTCACCACTATCAATCGAGGAAGCTCTCTTAACCTAATCAGATTCTATCTATCATAGGTTAAAGCAAAAATCAAGAGAATTTGATCAAGATTCAATTGACTTAATAAATCATGCCTCAATCGATTATAATCAAACAATATAGCATCCAAAACTTCATACAAGAAAGATCCTAACACATGGGACTAGGGTTCCTCAAAACCTAAGTGAAGGGAAGTTACTCCATAGAGAAGAGAGAGACTGCAGAAATCTGATCTAGATCTTCAATCTCCATCTCCAAGCTTGATTCCTGAGCTCCAATGGCGAAGAAATCCTCCAAAATAGCTCCAAGAATGTTCCCAAGTCGCTCTCTCTCTCTAGGGTTCGTCCCTTGGGTGTTTGGGAACCAAAACCCAGCTCCCCCTTTCCTTTGGCTCAAATCTGCCTCAAAAACCCGATTATCTGCGAATTATGGGCTGAATTACGGTCGTAATTCTTCCATGCCCGTATTTTGCCCAAAACACGCGTTTTGGTTATGTTTCAGCGCACCCAAAGCTCCTCTCGGCAGTGAAATTACGGGCATGGGAGGCCAAATTACGATCGTAATTCTTCTGCCCGTAATTCTTCCTCCTCTCCTGTTCAAAGCTTCGTTTCTCCCTCGTTCGGACTCCGAATCAGTCGCCGTTTGAACCCAGACGCTCATAGTCTCGTCCTTTTTCTTTCAATAACAAAATTCTATGATAATTTATCCATAATATGAGGTAGAAATCCATTATTCCTCAGGTCATGCTCGTGTTTCTTCTCCCGAATTGCCAAATGATCTCCGATTGACTTGAAACTTGCGCCTATGCTTCAATATACATGCTAGGACCTGAAATGTGACAAAGGAACACAACCTAGCGTAAAATAGGCCAAAGACACGATAATTCAAGCTCAAACAATCAAGAAACAAAGGGGAAAACATGTGCAAATACCGAGTCATCAGATTGATTTATTTTTGGGTTTCGTAATGATTTTTCTGGATTTTAGATGATGGTGAAGGGAAGGAGGAAGTGGGAACGGCAGGGTGTAGAAGACCGCCGCCGCCGACTCTGTATTTCGCTGACGGCGACGACAAGGACAGGAGGGGGATTTTTGTTTTGGTAAGTGTCTCTTCTCCAGGTCTGTTTGTTTGGGATCTTAGGATTGATTGTGGCTATGAATTGGGGAAATCGGGTTCATTTGTGGTTGTGAATCCTATTGTGGCGGACAAAGTCTGAAGATATGTTTTGTGGTAATTGAATGTGAAATTTTGTGTACGTTGGTGTTTACGAGGTCATTTTTCTGATTTTAGAGGTTTATGATTTGGAAAATCAGATTTGATCAATTTGATTAGGTGGGTTTCTAATGGTATGTTTTGAGGGGTTAATATGGGAGTTTGCAAAGCTGGGATGGTTTTGAAACTGGAAATTGTATGTGTGATGTGGGTTTGAGTGTAGAAATTTGTATACCGTGGGTTTTGAAACTGAAAATTGTGGGAGTTTATGACCGAATTTGTTGCTGGAACTTTAAGAGAGGATGCCAAAAAACATCCCTTAGTTTGAGTATGATTGAGTCAAGTTGGTTTAATTTGCTGGTTAATATTTGTTTATATAATATGATTTGGTAGCTTAGAGTGAGTAGTATGCTTGTGATGGTATGTTTAGCACAAAGAAAGTGAAGTAATTGTTAAAGTAAACAGTAACATTGCTAAATATATAAGTATGGTATGATCAGAAACATTAAGAACAAAGCTCAATATATGTAGCTCTAGTTTTGTTTATAATACGCAAAAACTTTAAACATATACACATAAATACATGCCGCCAAAACAGCTTTGAGAGAATGCATCAGATAATGATTTTGTTGATTACTTAGTGGTTAACTTGTAGTTTGTTTGGGTATTGGTTGAGTGTTCATTCAGAAAAGGTATAAAAAGATGAAATTAGGAAATGATGTGTACATGGGTTGATATGCTCTATTTAACCTTTTCTTGCAGTTTGAGGAGGGGCTGAAGCTGTTTTCCTCTCTCGTCTGTGAGTGCTCTTCACTTGCTTTTGCTTCTTTCATTTCTGAGCTTCTGCTTTGGTATCGGGCAAGAAGTAGCAGGGAGTCCATCTTTAGATTCATTTTTTGTTGTCTTTTCTTTCTGTTTTGTTGTCTGTGTATGGGGGTTTTAGTGAGGTGAAAGAAGAAGAACTCCCCGTAGGGAAGAAGAAGAAGGGAGAAAAGATGTCTTTTTTCTAATCTGTCTCTTTCTTTCTGTATGTTTAGGGGAGTGAATAAGAAGAAGAGGTGAAGAGAATCCCCTGTCGTGGGGGAGAAGGAAGAATAAGAAGCATAGCCAAGTCTCACCCTTTTGTTCTCGTGGGGAGGAAGAAAGGAAAGAGGAAGATGTTGTCTGATGTGGGAAAAAGGAAGAAGAGTGGAAAAACAGTATGGAAGAAGAAGAAGAAAAAGAGAAAGGAAGTCCCTGTTTTTTTTAGAGTTTCGGTCGGATGAAGAAGAGGAGAAGACCTCTTCTATTTATGTGTATGGTGCTTTAGGAGGGGAGGACGTGGGAATTTGTAGACCTTATGCTGCTTTTTGTCTTTCAATCAGAAAAGGAGAAGAAGAAGTTGTCTTTGTTTTTCTGTGAGGAAGGGATTGGAATTGAGAAGTTTTGCAGAGTTCCCCTGCTGTGTTTTTGGATTAGAAAAGGAGGAAGTGGAGAGGAGATTTTGTTTTCAGAGGGAAGTAGGAGTGGAAACTGAAAGGGAAGAGGAATAAGAAGAAGAAGAGAGGTAGTATGGAAGAATGTCGTCGCTCCCTCCTCGTTTCTAAAGAGCAAAGGGTTCTTTTATATGGAATAGGCAGCTTGTTGTCCAAGCATGCTACAGTACTGGTTCGGTTCATGGTCGAACCAATATTGGTTTGGGTCCAACTGAGTTTGGTTGACGGGTTTGACCAGTGGGTATTTGACCATTGTTGACTGGATTTGACCCGAGTTGACCATGACTGTAGGTCTTGATTTATTTTATTGTTGTATTTATTTGTAAATTTAATGGAATAGCATTGTGATTGTAATTTTTATTTATATTTGATTTAATTCGAATTTAGTTTAATAATATGCTTATTTATCTTTTCTTAATTCGAATATTTTTAAAAAGTACCCCATCCAAAATCTTAAGAACCAATTCATCAAAGATCAATTAACAAATTGCCTAATTCGTCAAATCAAAGCAAACACAACTCAACTCTCTCACTATCAATTATATTGGTCGAGATTAATCTCGTCAAGGCAAACAAAACCCATCATAGGCACTACGAATATGTTTTAGTTAGAATGTCATTTAGGATTTGCTATTGCAAACTTTAGACAAAACACTAAAATTATTTAATAAAATATATGTTCTAACCCGGACAAAAAGTGGTGTCTACAATAGAATTTGATTGTTTATCATTTTCCGTGTGTTCAATCTTCTGGTTATATTGAATTCTACTCTGACAAAAGAATGATCGGTTCCTTATAACCAGCCCTTTCATTTATATATGTGATGGCGATTATTCTGTTAATTGTAATTGTCCATGCATTGTGATCCTCTACGTATGCATCATGTAGCTTCCAATAGTGACAGACATGATACCCCCACTAGGGGTGGCTATACGGTCCGGTCCGGTTAAATTGGCCCGAATTGATCCGGTCCAGTCCGGTCTTTTTGAAAATATAGGGACCAAAGCTTGGATTGGGTACAGTCCGGTTTTGACCCAGTCCGGTCCCAATCCGGTTTTAACCTGTTTTGACCCATTTTGACCATGTTGCAGAAAATTCAGCAGCATATACCCATTTTCCTGGAATATAGACAACCTGTTTGTAGCAAAAATCAAGCCAAACATGGTCCAATACAAAATCACAACCATCATTGATGTCTATTACAAACTCAAAGTCCAATTGAAATTTCAAAATAGAAATAAAGTGCATCACAAGTTCACAACCAAAGTTTAGATATCAAACACCAAATTTACTCCAATCTAAGAAATCCACCAAACCATTTCTACTCATCAGGTTCAAGAGAAACAAACGAAGCATTAGATCCACCTCCTTGATTCGTTCCACTCCTCGAACCAAACACATCACTCCCTTCGACATTGCTCGTACTTGTACCTTCATGTCCACTCACATGCTCACGCCTTTCCGCCTCATCCACCATAATAGCATTGTAAACTAAATGACATGGATCAAAAAAAAATAATTGTTCGCAATAGTATTTACATGGCCAAAACTAAAAACTACAAAGTAATTTACTTACCACTCACGAAGTCTTCTTGATCCTCATAGTCATCATCATCACCATCAAGATGCTCCACAAACTCACTAGAACTTGATCTAAGCTAATCTTGACTGCATATGAGAGCTTCCACAATCTTAGGATGCAAAGAGCTCCTAAATTCATCTAAAACATGCCCACTTGTGCTAAAAACGGACTCGGAAGGAACGGTTGACATAGGAATAGCAAACAGATCCTTTGCCATCTCACTCAAGATGGGATACCTCATAGCATTCGTCTTCCACCACTTCAACACATCAAACTCTTCTTCAGCATCATCTTATTCTCGAGGATGAGCAAGATACTTCTCCAACTCACTCTTAGTATGACCAACTTGAGGTTTTCCATAATCATCATCAGGATCATAATCATCATAAGATTCATCAGAATCACTAGCTGACCTCGGTGAACTTGAAGTGGCAACTTGTACTCGACGTTTTGGAGGAGAAGAAGAAGAAGGAGGAGGCATCTTACTCTGATAATATTCAAACAACTTCTCGAGTTCATCATTCAACTCTTTCACCAAGACTTTTGCCCTTTCCTCTCCACACATCTTCTTGAAAATATGATCCGGATAGTTCATCTTATGCCTCGGATCAAACACCACAGCCATGTAAACCAACCTGTTCAATCTGAAGTTGACACAATCCTTCTCTGACCAATATTTGTCAACTTTAGCCTTCATCTTCATACCCATCCTAACTATGTCATCATCCCTGCTATTCATCATTTTCTTCCAATCTTCATATTGAGGGACACCAATTTCTTGATTCTTGTACCTCTTTGCCTTGAGCTTGGGCTTGTAATCCTTATCCTTCCTCTCAAGACTAGAGAATGCATCTTCAAACACCACAGCAGCTTCAAGCATGTAGTAGGTGGAATTCCACCTTGTAGGCACATCTAGACTCAACATCTTCTTCGATTCAATGTTGTGAAATTCACACACTCCTTGAACTTTGCCAATCTAGATGGTGATGATCTAACCCATCTCACAGCCTCTCTCACCCTCCTTATTGACATGCCCATCTCTTCTAAACCATCGCTCACAACCAAATTCACTATATGAGCGATACACCGCATGTGAAGGTACTTTCCGCCAACTATATTAGTACCCCATTCTTCAAGTCGATCTCTCAAATGAAGAAGTGTCGTGTCATTTGCACTTGCATTGTCAACTGTGCCTGTGAAAATATTTTGCAAACCCCAATGCTCCAAACAATCAGCTATTGCATCACCTAGATCAATCCCCTTATGACTTGTAATCTTGCAAAAACTTATCACCTTCTTGTATAGCTTCCAATCCTTCCCAACAAAATGTGCAGTAATGCACATATAGTTGAAATTTTGGCAAGAAGTCCAACTTTTTGTAGTTATGGACACCCTTCCTCCACATTTGATCTTGAAGTAATCTCTCAACTTGCCCTTCTGTTCAAGAAACAATCTAAAACAATCTTCTCTAATTGCTTTTCTGCCTGGAATCTTAAACATCGGACAAGCACGAGCCATGAAGCGCTTAAAACCTTCTTTCTCCACACTCTTAAAAGGCATTTCATCCAGAATTATCATTTCAACTAACCCAGCTCTGATAGACGTTTGATCAAATTTCCAAGTCCCCAAAACTCCTTGCCCTTCAACAGAACTTGGATTGAGTTCTAAATTCAACTGCTTCCCCTTTTCTTGTAGTTTCTTTAAGCACCTTATAGTATGTCTACCCAAAGAACTTGTACCATTTCCCGAGGGATCCCCAGCCAATGCCTTTGCACAGTAATGACATTTTGCCTCCTTCTTGCCTTTATCATCTATGTAACAATCATAATGATTCCATACAGGTGATCTTAACGTGTACTCCCTACTGCTCTTATCTGTTACAGGTGTTGTTGTGGTGTTGGTAGCTGCTGGTTGTTCTTGTTCTTGAGTTGTAGCAGCTTGAACATTAACATTACCACTGTTATTCCCACTTTCAACGGCTGCCTTTGAAGCTTGCGGTTGTGATCGCTTCTTACTAGGAAGAGGAGGCAAATTATCACCTTCTCTTGCTGCCGGTACTCGCTTCTTAGTACCCTGCACAATAAATTGAATTCATTGAAGAACAAGCAAAAACTAATCAACAATAATCTCATCCAACCCTAGTACATCACATTTCACCATTCAATTCATCACTAATTAACTAAAATTACTCATTAATAAAGTAAAACTACTTACCCAACTGCTGCTCCCCTCCATTTTTCTAAGTTGGGCGGCTGTTCCCCAATAATCGACAGAGGGCGACGAGATTGGACGGAAGGTGACAACTAGCTGTAGACTCTGGACAGAGGGCGACGAGATTGTACGGAGGGCGGCGAGCTGCGGACTCTGGTGGTTGAGAGCACTGCCTCGCTGGGTCGGAGGCTTGGAGTGGAGGCACAGTCGTTGCTTCGCGCGGAGGAGAATCGGAGCGACATTCGACAGCCGCGCGGAGGAGAATCGGAGGAGAATCGGAGCGGATGAGGCAGGCGACAGTCGTTGCTTCGCGCGGAGGAGAATCGGAGCGGATGAGGCAGGCGACAGTCGTTGCTTCGCGCGGAGGAGAATCGGAGCAGATGAGGCAGGCGACAGTCGTTGCTTCGCGCGGAGGAGATTCGGAGCGGTGGTGGTGGGCTGGTCGCGGTCTCGCGGTCGCGGAGGAGCACTCGCTGGGCGGCAGCCTCTGCGGTCAATTTAGGGTTTGGGTCGGCGGCGGCTGCTGTGCGAAGTTGGGATGGGAGAAGGAGAAGTGATGGTTGGCATCTTGGCGAAATGCGAATGTGGAGGAGAGTGCGCCGACTGCCGAGTGCGAATGATGGAGGAGAGGCCGAGAGGGCGACTGGCGTCTGGCGAGAGGCAACCCTAGAATGGACTGGGCCGGCTTGGGCCGCTGTGGGTAGTGAGAGTGGGCTTGTCTTGGCCCATATGGGCTTTGTCTTTTGGGTCTGGTCTGTTTTTTATTAATCCGGTCTTCCGGTTTTTACACGGTTTTGGATTGTTTTACATCCGGTCCCGGTCTTAAATGGTCCCGTTTATGCGGTCCGGTT